TCCCCGTTAATGCATGTAAGCACCCACATCCAAACACTCAGACGGGTACCTAGCACACAGAGAAAACACAAAAAGACTCACACCATCACATACACACCGTTACATTAACAAATATAGTGTGACTATAGACACAGACGCACAAAACACACTCAGACAACAGACACAGGGACACACAGATCCCCCCCCCCCCCCACACACACACAGGTCGGTCCTGCTCACCTGATATTCGCCGCCTCCGCCGTGGTCGGCTCCGGTGGACAGAGCTCAGTACCGTCCACACACTGTTGGATCACCCGCTCTGTCCACTGACCCGGCCGGTGGACGCAGTGCAGCTCGTGCGGCTCCGGCTCCTCCGTCGGCCTTTGTCCCGGTCTGGACCGCTGCAACTGCGCAGTACGTAATTACCCCGGGGCGGGGCGCCGCTGAGTCATGGTACCGGTTACCGCCGACCTCGGGCCGCTGGGCGACTGCAGCGCCCCTACCGGTCACCGGCGTCGTACTGTAACTAATGGGGAGCCCGGGGGCGTTCATGGAGCACTGTTGATGTAAGTGCACAGTTGCCTCGTAAAGGCTAATCAGCAACAACAACAAAATAAAATGGGAACTCTCTACATTCGTCAAGGACTTGGATGTCCGAGTTACAATGGGCCTTGTCCCGTAGCGAGGAGACTCTAGCGTCTAGCGTGTCCAGTGAGTCGGCGGCGCGGTGTCCTGGCCTGATGACGTTAGCGGGGGGTCACCAGGGTTACAGGGACAACACGGGCCGCCGGTCGATGTGCAATCCCCCCCCCCCCCCACCCCTTTCCTTCCCTTCCCCTGTCCCCGGGACAACTCTGCAACTCGGCAAAACTAAACATAGTGACGACTGACGAGCAGGCATGAACGGTTGAAAAACAAAACCGATGATAGGCGTAAATGGGTAATGGTGAGCGGTGGCGCAAAAGGGCCACTCGATTTGCTTAGGCCGCGAACAAAGGGTCGCCGCCGCCGCCGCCGCCGCCGCGGAGTCGCGGTGTCGCGGCCTGCAGCCGGCAGCGGCCCCTCCCCGTCGGAGCAGCGGAGGAGGGTGCGTGCCGCGGGGAGGGGAGCCGGCGGCGGGGGAGGGCGCCGGCACCTGCCGACCCCCTGGTGCCCCGCGGCGCCCCGGCGCCCTCCAGCCAGGCGTGACCGCGCCGCCGCCCGGCGCCCTCCCCGCCCTTGACCCGACATAGACCCACCGCCGCCGCTGCGCCGCGACCGCCGCCAGCGCGAGCCGACGGTGACCATTGTGACGCACACCGGGCGGGGCGTGCGCCGCGCTCGCCCCCAGTGCGCCGCATTCGTCCTCAGCCGTCCGTGAAATCCCATTTGGCGCATTGTGCGAGCGGGAGACGCGTGCGGCGCCGGTGAGAACAGGTGGAAAGGTTTCCCGGCGGTTGGGTCACAGCGCGCCGGTCAGCGGGCGGCCGCGGGCCGGGACGACAACCGAGGTCCTTCGGCGGCCCGCCGACAACGTTGACAAATCGTGTTTTGTATTTTACACTCGCACAAGGTCACACGGGTCGCCTGTGCGACACTGTGCGAACTTTGCTCTCAACGAGAATAAAGTGAGTCGGTGACAAACAAAAATCGGCACGGAGCACCGTACCGGACCTTATGGCCATTTAGCACGGTATGTCAGTTGACCCGCGGACCATGTAAAAGGCACAGTGGGTGGCGACATTCCTTCTTGCACTGGTCGTTTGCCGCTAGAACTGTCAGGGAGCCGACCAAGGTAACTACGGCCCCCTCTCGATAAACTGCAGGAATTGAGCTGAGCTGCTCACACCTCGGTACATACCGCGAGACAATGGCGCCGCGTCTTCCGTGGGTGAAAACCGACAATTTTCTGGCTTTGAAAATTGTAGCCTGCGTTTGAAAAAATGCATTTGCATTTGAGCCTGCAGTGAAGTATGCAAAAGTCAAATAAATATGTGACGCCTCAATCAAAAATGAATTTATCGGTGCTTTTGATAAAGCTATTTTAGATTTACACCGAAAGAGTAGTACCTTGCTGGAAATAATCGTGCTTCTACCACATGCTGCTTGTCACGGAAAATTTATGTTCAGTACCGTGGATCTGGTAAAGCACTAATGGCTCTGTCAACCACCACCGGTAAGCCACCAAGGCTTGTGGTAGGTTATCATCACTGTAAGACATCATGGACTGCCACCAATCAGGGTGCAGTCACATTGATCTGTAAAGAGCTGCTGACGGGCCCCGGTAGCTCTGTTTGCTATACACTTCGTCAGGCGTGTAACACATTCATGGCAGCTGGGACCTGACCGACAAACTGTGGCAAACGTTGGCGTGCAGATTTCTACCGTGAAACCCACCAAACCCACTCTTTCTCTTGATATGCAGATGTTACGCGGCGTTTCCGTAAATTAATATATTGATATTTCGATGTGATGAGGTGTCGATGCTGATTTTTGTCGTGGTACCGTGATTTTCTCCCTGTTTCCTTTGGTTCTGGTCGTGATGCTCTCAACTAGTCTTCCTGTTCCTTTGTTCAACATCATCGCCGCCGCGTAACGCCTCTCACGCTCGTCCGTCAGTTTGTCGGCAGATCATTAAGCAGTTTAGATTCCCAAAGCCCAAAATGCATAAAAGCAACAAGCTGTCGTGACTGACTAATTTTGTTAAAGTCTGAATTGTGTCAATTTGCACTCTCATATCTCGGTAAACGTTCAGTGTCTACGCATCATAGGTAAATTAAACCAAACAAAGCGCACCAATAATGCCAGGAAAACTCAATAGCCCCATTTACTGTTCCGCTACAAGCACGTTACGGAACTGTGAAGACAGAGGGAGGGAGAGAGAGGGAGAGTGAAAGAGAGAGAATAAGAGTGAGTGAATGAGTGAGTGAGAGAGAGAGAGAGAGAGAGAGAGGGAGAGAGAGAGAGAGAGTGGGAGAGAGGGAGAGAGAGAGAGAGGGAGAGAGAGAGAGTGGGAGAGAGGGAGAGAGAGAGAGAAAGAGAGAGAGAGAGAGAGAGAGAGAGAGAGAGAGAGAGAGAGAGAGAGAGAGAGAGAGAGAGAGAGAGAGAGAGAGAGAGAGAGAGAGAGAGAGAGAGGAGGCTGTTTAGTTTCGACAACTATCGATTCGGCGTTCATGCCATAAAACGGCTAGCGGACACGACGAGTGATCACGGCCACACTTGTCCAAGTACTACTGTCTTACTTGTAAAACTTGTCGGCCCGGGTGACCTGACGAGACTTTGTTAGACGCGCGGAGAGAACAGGCTAAAAGCAAGTTACTAATTCGTTTCGTTCCGAGCCAAAGTTGTATCAGTCAAGTACGTGGTGGTGACACTTGTTAACCCGCGCACCGACGGGGGGGGCGGATATCCGCCCTCCCTGAGGTTTTTCGCGAATAGCGGGAAAACCGCGGCGCGTAGCGCCGCGAAATTTGGTATGACTATAACCTCATCAATTTTACACATGGTGTGCAAGTTTGAACCTCCTACCTTTTAAGGTCAGGTCACCAGGTCACTTTGAATGACCCAACCTCAAGTCACTTTTTTGCAACTTTGTCACCGTGCCAGAGCTACAGTAGATGTCGGAGGCCTTTGAAAGTCGCAGGATATTATAAGGTCATTAGTAGCTACAATTTGTATATCTCGGAATTTTGATATCGGTGACCTAAGGTCAGGTCAATTTCGCGACCTCCCCATTATAAGTCAATGGGGGAAAAATCAACTCCCTGTTTTTACCACTAAAACGGGTCGGAATGGCCCCATATACCATACATGACTTCATATACGATCAACCTTCACTACCTTGAGGTCTGTTTTGCTGTTGGGCAGCTGTGAGGTCATGTGACGTCATCAAAGGTCACCAAAGGTTTTTGGCCAATAACTCTGTACAGGAACAAGATACAGACGCGTGGATGGTCTCATTGTGTTCAGCTCGTCAAGACGCATCGAATGATATACATGATGACCTCGAGGTCACGTGACCTGAGGTCAACCTTTGACCTTGACCTTTCGAGGTCAACATACATATCATTCGATGCGGATTGACGAGAGGATCACGATGATGCCCTTAGTTTGTTCCTATCTTGACTAATTCGAAAGTTATTCGAGAAAAACTCTCTCCATATCTAGCGCCGCCATTTTGACTTTTTCGACCCCTGTGACGTCATCTTTGACCTGACCTGAAAATGACCTTTGTAAAAATTGTAGATCTTGGCCGTGCGTATCCGATGCCGTTTACCGCTTGTCGCTATCTTGCTTCGTTCTCGAGATCTCAGGGGGGGGGGCGGTCATCCGCCCCCCCCCCCCCCGTCGGTGCGAAGTTGGCGCAGACCCCCGTCGGTGCGCGGGTTAATCCTGTACTGGGTGGAACGAGACAACAATCACAATAAAATGACGCCTCACCGGCCCTGCGGCGCGCGCGGCTCGGCGCGGCTGTAAAACGATTACCGAATTGTATTGTTACCAAGCGATGAGTGCAGTGGCACCTGCACACTGTCGGTCGGCTGTACTGAGAGCCGTGCTATTCCCTCTGAGATTGAGTATCGATTTCACTGTTCATCGTCATAAACGAGCAGCTGGTGATGCTGTGCGACTGGTGGACACGCCCGGGCAATACAGGCCCACTCAGAGCGGTCCGAACGATATCGGTCCGATTATATGGAGTAGTCCAATCAACCTTTTTGGCAAGTGTTTAACGGTCGGGATGGGCAGCTAGTGTTAGAAATCGTGCACACGTCCTTGTTCTTGTATTGTGCATGCCAACATACCCCAGCTTACCATTCGTGGTCAAGCGCACCGCCTGACTGACTCACAATGATAAATCACTTAACTCGTCGACTCAATGACAATAATCGACAACACATTGTGAATAACACGTGCGCCTTCGGCGCTGGCGCCTTTAACATATATCCCTAACACCCCTCCCCTCTCCGAAACACACGCTCACATCATACGGCTATGTACACATGTCATCACTGCAGTGCGCCTCATTGTCTTCTTCCGGCTCATCCATTGCTGAAAGGCGCCACTGGGCGCGACAGGCGCCCGTATCGTGTGAACACCGGGGTGGGTGGGCCATAAGCCACTTCCGGACCCTCCTCAGTAGCGCCGGGACGCCCCACTGCGCCCAGTGGGGCTGGACCGGGGGCGCTGCACAGCCAGGCACCCACCAATGGGTCGGGCAGCCCGTCACTGCCCCCTGGTGTAGGCGCTCCGCCTTGCACCTGGCCGGGCTCGGAGTTTAGGGTCCGTCCCACTGCGGGGCCCGGGCTACATTGGTTCCCTGCCGCGTCCAGTGCCTGGCAAGGCCTTAGATTGTTGTGATTTAACACTTTCTCAGCGCTGTTATCATTCAGACCACGAGGGGGACGACGACGGCGTCGGCGGCGCTGTCGTCTCCACCGTGCCCGAAGCACAGGAGGCAACTGATTTGGCCCCGCTCGGGAACTGGTGACGGGTACTCCAACCCTAAGTAGAGCATTGCTGCCCAAGCGTCTGATCGGGGGCGACCCGCCCTTCATCAGGTCAGGCTCCACCGCACTGAGCCGGCAGCGGGTCTCCGCGCCCACGCTGCCACTCCCCACAACCAGTGCCGCCCCTCCCCTGTTGCTAGATTTCCCAGCCCGAAAAGAAGCGAGCTTATCAGTGGTCTCCAGTGTAGGCGCACCGCCCTGCACCGGGTCAGACCCCTGACATGTCCCCTTACCCGCCGACACGACGGCCTTTCTGTCTGCGCTGTAGACGCGATGGCCATTGGATGTCCGACTGCAGTCTGCACGGTCCGGCCACGATGTCGGAGTAGAGAGGCAAAGGGACGGTTAGCTCCCCAATTCTGAGCGTGCCCTCCTGGTCATCGATTATCGTGCCGAATCGGCAACAGAAATCTCGCCCTAGCACGAGGTCGTAAACCAAACCCCTTACAACAGCGACGCCGTCACACAGGAACTCTTTACCCTGGATGGTGATTGGTACTTTGTGAATTACCCCCGCGATGTGGAGCGGCTCTCCGCCCGCTCCTGTCGCTGATTGAGTGGGCAGTGTCAGTTCCCTTCCCAATGTATCGTGTAGTCCCTCGCGCATCATCGAGAAGTCGGCCCCTGCCCTCTGGTGTAGGCGCTCCGCCTTGCACCTGGCCGGGCTCGGAGTTTAGGGTCCGTCCCACTGCGGGGCCCGGGCTACATTGGTTCCCTGCCGCGTCCAGTGCCTGGCAAGGCCTTAGATTGTTGTGATTTAACACTTTCTCAGCGCTGTTATCATTCAGACCACGAGGGGGACGACGACGGCGTCGGCGGCGCTGTCGTCTCCACCGTGCCCGAAGCACAGGAGGCAACTGATTTGGCCCCGCTCGGGAACTGGTGACGGGTACTCCAACCCTAAGTAGAGCATTGCTGCCCAAGCGTCTGATCGGGGGCGACCCGCCCTTCATCAGGTCAGGCTCCACCGCACTGAGCCGGCAGCGGGTCTCCGCGCCCACGCTGCCACTCCCCACAACCAGTGCCGCCCCTCCCCTGTTGCTAGATTTCCCAGCCCGAAAAGAAGCGAGCTTATCAGTGGTCTCCAGTGTAGGCGCACCGCCCTGCACCGGGTCAGACCCCTGACATGTCCCCTTACCCGCCGACGGACCGGGAGCTGACCCAACCAGGGTGGGCGCTGACTTCCGTCCCTTGAACACCCACGAGAACAAGGACAGCACGGAAGTCAGCAGATGCACCACGAACGCTGAAACCACCGAGGGAAGACAACAACCCTGAGAACTCTCGCCCCCCACCCGTCTCGCCGCGACGGATCCGAACCAATGGCCGAGAGCAGGGGCCAAAACGGCCGGCTTATCGTGACAGGCCTCGTCACGAGGCGGGTCTCCGCGCCCACGCTGCCACTCCCCACAACCAGTGCCGCCCCTCCCCTGTTGCTAGATTTCCCAGCCCGAAAAGAAGCGAGCTTATCAGTGGTCTCCAGTGTAGGCGCACCGCCCTGCACCGGGTCAGACCCCTGACATGTCCCCTTACCCGCCGACGGACCGGGAGCTGACCCAACCAGGGTGGGCGCTGACTTCCGTCCCTTGAACACCCACGAGAACAAGGACAGCACGGAAGTCAGCAGATGCACCACGAACGCTGAAACCACCGAGGGAAGACAACAACCCTGAGAACTCTCGCCCCCCACCCGTCTCGCCGCGACGGATCCGAACCAATGGCCGAGAGCAGGGGCCAAAACGGCCGGCTTATCGTGACAGGCCTCGTCCCCTGTCGACCGCAGGCCTCCGTTGCCACCTCTCATCGATAACTCAGTACCGGTGTCCACCAGGGCCCACACCCGCCTACCTCCAAATTCCATTTCAACAACAGACGCTACGATGTGGGACCCTGGTACAATCCCGGCTGGCATTTGTCCCTCAACGCCAGCTGCCCTTAGTTTCCCTGGTTCGGGATCTGTCCGGCACCGGGGCACGCGGGCGCACCGCCCATCGTGGCCGGACCGTGCAGACTGCAGTCGGACATCCAATGGCCATCGCGTCTACAGCGCAGACAGAAAGGCCCTCCCCCCGCGGTACAAGTTTTGGGACAATCACGGAATAGATGCCCTATTTCCCCACACGCATAACACTGTCGGCTCTCAGTATGGCTGCGCCGTTTGGGACAGAATCGTCGGGTGTGTCCCGAATCACCACAGTCAAAACACCGATGGGGTGCACGGCGGTTTCCTGGTGCGAATGCGGTACTTCTCCGGTTGCCGCCGTTGCCATCTTCAGCGAGGCCGGCGTTCTGCCGCCTCGGGCCGTCGGTGCACAGCTGTTGCAGAGCCTGCTGGATGTCGTCCATGCGGCGTTCCAGAGACTGGAGGACCACGGCCTGGTTAACGCCGGAACCGCCGCTTGAAGCCACCATGACTTGCGGTGTCATTGCCTCGTGTGCTCCCGCTGCCGTTCCAAACTGCTGCATGGCCACGAGCGCAGTCTGCTGGCTCTTGAATTCGCGAGCGATCCTCACCGCCGCGTCCATAGAGTCTGGGCTCTTGTTGCAGAGCACGCTCTTGAGTCCGGCGTCTCTCAGCCCACATATGAAGAGGCCTCGCAGACTGGCGTCGAGCGTCGGGTCATCTGGGACGGCTTGCGGATGGGCTAGGCGGCCCAGCTGCCGCAGTCTGTCGGCAAAGTCTGACGCCGTCTCACCCGGCTGTTGACAGGCGCGAGCCAGCTCCACTTGTGCCTGCAGCGGATTCTGTAGTTGGCTATAGCGCTCTGCCAGGGCGTTCTTGGTGGTTTGATAATCCCCGCGAATTTGCTCCGGCAGGGATGCCAAAAAATCCAGCGCACCACCTTGCAGCACGCTGATCAGGCACGGAAGTCGGTCGGCAGCCGGTAGCGCCGAGGTCTTGGCTTCGAAACGACGCACCCATTGCTGCCAGTTTTGAGAGCCGGTTCCAGAAAAATGCTCAAAGTGGGACATCAGCAGTATGTGGTGATCCATTTCGATATAACAGTTAAATGACCGCCAAAAAAGTCACGTGAAAAACGACAAAATATGCTTACGTTATCCGAGTGAAATTAATCAAACCGCTACAACTTCAGCAAGGACATGACTTAACAATGAAAATGATTTAGCGGCACGTAGGAAAGTGAACATGCGACCGCGCCAGTGTTAGAAATCGTGCACACGTCCTTGTTCTTGTATTGTGCATGCCAACATACCCCAGCTTACCATTCGTGGTCAAGCGCACCGCCTGACTGACTCACAATGATAAATCACTTAACTCGTCGACTCAATGACAATAATCGACAACACATTGTGAATAACACGTGCGCCTTCGGCGCTGGCGCCTTTAACATATATCCCTAACACTAGCATCATTATCTCTGGGCTTCCGCAACTGGCATTATTGCATGCATGCACCTCTCAATCATTATTCAGGTCATCCTGGAAGCAGCCTGCAGCTGAAATTGACCACAGAGTCAGCCCACTCTGGAGGCAATTAGGAGCTTCCGGAACGAGCTAGTAATAATCACATTCGCACGACAACCATACTTCGGAAGTGAATTCCAGAAATTAGTAGCCCCCTCCATGCGGCTAATCATGGCACCACCATATAGCCCCGTTACATGCGATACCCTTTTGTCGTGATTCCTTAGACTCACGGAACTCTAACCACCTCGGGGTACGTCCGGAAAACCACATCGGACTACTCCCGGAAACCGTAACGGGGTACGTCTGGAATACCACAGCAGACCACACCCGGAAAACCACATCGGGACTGTCCGGAATACCACAGCGGACTTGACCCGGCAACATAACGGGGTACGTCTGGAATACCACAGCAGACTACACCCGGAAAACCACATCGGGACTGTCCGGAATACCACAGCGGACTTGACCCGGCAACATAACGGGGTACGTCTGGAATACCACAGCAGACCACACCCGGAAAACCACATCGGGACTGTCCGGAATACCACAGCGGACTTAACCCGGCAACATAAGGGCATACGTCTGGAATACCACAGCAGACTTCACCCGGAAAACCACATCGGGACCGTCCGGAATACCACAGCGGACTTCACCCGGATATCCATCAACGGCGTCAGCGTGATGCATCACCCTACATCCGGGTTAGCTAATCAGGCACGCACCCTGCACCGCCGCTTCTCACCAGCGGCAGCACAGGCAATCGAACAACGACGCCTGCCCGTTTCACTGCCGGCTCACGACAGTACGGGCCCCCAAACTGGATCTGACCTTCAGCCAGCCAATGGCACGTCTCCAACCATTCGAAAATGTGTGGAGGCATGCAAGTGGTATCTCCATGCAACGACCAACACTGCCTTAAGTACAATTGCACTACCTTGACCAGAACAGGGAGGTCAGCACTTATTTCTCATTCCCCGACAATTGAAAAAGTGTAATCCAGTCGATTGTGTATACCGTACCAACACGCTTCAGCTCGCTTCCATAGAGAGGTACAGGGTGGGGCAGCATAATCGGGAATGCTTTTTGGGCTCTGGTCATGAGTAGGCATGGCATTATTTTGATAAATTATATCATGGCAATGAAACGCCCAAAAGTTGTGCATCATCTGACATGACTACATCCATGAGCATGCAACTTCCTGGAAAAGAGCAGCAAAATAGTTCGACGGTGCTCCAAGTTCTTTGCGCGCGCCCATAGACACTAATGTTAAACGAGTAAAACAAGAACATTTTGTTTAAAACAATGCCATTCCACGTAAAGGTTGCTGGACAGGTCAACGTGTTATCACGGACGATAAGGATTGTGTGGGGATACTTAGGACAAAAAGTTAACGTAATCGTCGTAAAATAACTCTTAGCAGAGGACATACAAGATGACTCACTTGAATATAAGGAAGAAGCTCTTGAGCATATTAAAAAGAAACAATGTTCAAAACTTCAGCGACCAAAAATCTTATCACCGACTGGAATACGATAAAAAAGAATGGCATGCCATATAGGGGATTGTATCGAGAATATTGCAGCGGTCATGCAAAGTAAACATCCTGTTGAGGTGATGGACCTATGGGTGGTCTTCAAGGGAGGTGCACGTGGTGCACCCTACTTCATCGAGCCCGGATAAAATGAGCACCTCTGGTAAATACATCCACACTCTGGCAGACTCACGTGGAGTCGTCGGAAGAGAGGATCACTGACGGTCCAGATCACGTCTTACGAGGACTCTGTCCGTGCTGGTACTGCAGTGAGGACGACATGTTATTGTGTAGGGCACCTCCACCTGAGATGAACCAAAAACTTCTGGTCCTTTAACTCCGCCGATTTAAATCCGACCAAATTCTTTATATGGAGCGTTTTTTGGTAGAAGTTTAATGAACAACTTATCATCAGTAAAAACGGTCTTCAGTGCAAGGTACGAAGCTGATGGGCGATCATGGACAAGCAGGAGGCTGCACGTGCATGCGCGTGCTTTTGGACCCGCCTTGAGAAGGTCATCGACGCGAAGGGCGGTCAAATAGGATGAGGGATAGGTAAAAGGTGACCGATTGATGGGATGTTGTTAAAATAGTACTTGGAGCTATATTTTTAAATTCATGACCAAATAATCCCGTTTGATATTTATTCCCGATTATGCTGCCCCACCCTGTAATTACGGCCACGCATGGCCAGCCGTCGCTGTCTCATTTATGGGGGGCAGTAAACCCAGCGCTCACAGAGCAGTCGGGAGATCTGGGTTGGTGCTGTAGAAACTTTACAGTAAATAGGCGTCACACACCATTACATGTGTCCTAGAAGTGGACTCGTCGCAGCTCTCACTGGTGCAGGGCATGATGTCGACAATGACAATAAGTAGTAATAATCTACCCCATTCGATATAATGGTAACGACTGGAATATTTTCCTGGTAAGGGCGGCTGGTGTAACGCCAGGCCGTATGTCTCTCTTAACCACTACAATTGTTGTCCCGTAAATTAGTCGCTGAATAGAGGAATGGAGCCAACTGACAATGATTGTTTATCTTATTGACTTGGTCCCAAAATCGTTCGGTTATCTGCTGCACTAACAATTTACATAAATTATAACGATGCGGCGTCCCCTACCAAATGGCTGACGCTAAATAGGCGAACCGGCGCGCCTGGAATTCTGTTAAGTTTGGCGGAGTGATATTGACGTAGTTTACCAAATGTGCCAGACGCACTGAATGTCAATTAGGTGAATAGTCCTTAAGCAAGTATAGGACATTACTAAATGATAATGATACGGCGTCCCCGAAACTAAGCGGCTGCGACTAATTGGGTGAACGGCGCGTCAGGAGATTACTGAATTAGGCAAAGTTATATTGACGTAGTTAACCAAATTTACCAGTCACACTGAATGACGATAAGAGGGTTCTTCAACAAGAACAACAGAACAGGTTGACAATAGAATAAATTGACTTCTACGTAATGCCCCTTTGGCATCAATTTCACTGCTGAGAGCCACTGTACCGAAATGTAGCATTCATCACAAAATTAAAGCGGGCGTCGCTTTACGTTTTAAGGGGAAGTTAACTAGTAATAAAACTAGACACTATATCTGTTCCTGATCATGCGTTTTCCATGCCTGGGTTTCATCTAGAAAACGTGCCTTTACCGAGAATTATAGTAAGGTTGGAACCCAACGTACTCCGCACTTAACCATGCCGCATTATATGAAATAGAATGCAAAACGTTCAGCCGCAAAACATTGAATGCGTGAAAGGTGTTTTATTTTGGACCTCCTTGAGCTGTAATTGATGAATAAGCGAACTGAGACCTACTAGCAAGTAACAACTATCCGGATAATTGCGACTGCATACAGGAGAACTACCGTCAAATGGCATGCTGAGCTCTGAAGATTTTTTTTTTTAAACAAGATGTTGATTACTGAAATTATCTGGTATTGTCAGTTGACGTCATCCAAGCGTTAAGATGAGCTAATGACGGCAGGTTAATAGCAAAGTAATAAAAGGACAACCCCCAGATCCTCAACGCTCAAATCGACCCACTCCCCTTGATATTTGACCAAGATATATCATTTGTTAGCCTTGCTACCCAATTATAGACCACAATTTCCGAACCCCGTTCTACTCTACTCATCTACCCGACCTCGTCAACCCAT